CTGTTCATCTTGCACCTCTTTCCTGGCCCACAGTCAACATTATCGCAGGTTTCTAAAATAAAAATTATTTGTTAGGTGATGCTTGTTGTGGGGATGTTGGACCTGTGCGTAATCCTACTCGCATAGAGTAAAGATTACATTTATACGCACTTTGGTATTCTGAAATCAGTTAAGGATGTATTAAACAAAATGACTGGTGATGTGTATTATGGGAAACGAAGGGAAATGGGTGCACCTCCACCTTTGCAAGGTATGCAATTGGGAGCTCCGCCATTGAAGATCATCCACCTAAAGAGCGTGCTGTTGGGGACATCCTCCTCGGTCCAGGACGTCCCCAGTCTTCCACTCCGACAGCACTCCTCCCTGCTCATCCCGGGCATGTACAGCACCTGGCACCTCCCGTTCTTCCCCTGCTGCAACCAGCAGTTCCCAGCTGCAAACAGAGACACAAAAAAAGCTCGAAATGTCGCATGCTGAACGTCTGAAACCGCTGACCCAGACGCACCAGACACACACGCAGCCGTATTATCCGAGACGCGCCCTCCCTCCCTTTCGCCCTCCCGGCAGTATTTTTGTCTGATTTTTTTTTTTTTGCTAGACTGTTAACACTTGCCTATCCCATATGTGACTGACAGCCCTTACAATGCAGCCACAAACCGAAAAAGTAAGAATAATCTTTGGAGGGGGGGTTGCCCTTTATTCCTACAGCCTCCTTGTTATCACTGCACAGAAAGTGGAGTGTCTAGACGGCGTTAAATAGCAGCCAATCTCCTTCAGAAAGCACGGTCTTTAGCTTAACACACCACCGTCTACAACGCTTCAGAACAATATCCCAGACATGCACACACCAGACAATGATAACATGATTAGAGAAGTGTGCTTTTTATCACACCTTTGTAAAGTTTATTTTAAACATATACAAATAAAAAAGCAGAACTGTTTCCCTATTTCCTTGGTAAAAAAATATAATTTGATCCAGACAACAGCAGGATGTCTAAACCGAAACAGACACACATGACATGAAGTGCTCATAGGCTGGTGTGTTTCCTTAAATTGAAGACAGATTTCTATTATATCTGTTCGAACTATAAGATATAAAAATAAATGATACATTCAAAAGTCTGCAGTTTTATTATTTTGTTAAACTAAATAATAGAAAATGCAGCAAAAAGCTATTTTTGCACACAATTCTTGGATGTTAGCAAGAAACAGAACTAGCACGTCCATAAGGTAACAGTGGATCGTCTGAAGTTTGTTGCACCATCGTTAGAAACTAAACGCTCATACAAAAGTATTACAATATGCTCAGGTATTGTAGAAAGCTGGTGCTGCACCAGCTCGGCGTGGTGCGTGCGCCTGGGCTGCAAAACTTGCCATATTGTCACTTTGAAGTGTCCCATATGGCACCTGTTTTATGGACGCTTTACGCACTGTCTGATGCAGAGAGAGTTTTATCAGCGTGGAAAAAGAAAACTCACTTTGAAAAGTTTCTCAGTTGCAGCAAGTATCCGACACTCGGACGCATATTGTGCCTGACAGCATGTCGAAGTTTTACAAAAACCGAAATAATTAAGGAAAATTGATGAAGAGATCTTACCTTGAACTTTTTGATGTTCCATGAGATGACAAAGCCATATGAACAAGAGAAAAAAGCCCGGGTGAAAGTGGTGTTTCAGCATCCTAAACATGATGGAGAGGCAAAGTGAACTACGTATTTGACACAGGCAGCGCAAAAGTAATCTGCTTAAGGTGGCAGTGTTGAATAACTGTCAGTCTGAGAATGCAGCCTCTCTTTTTAAATCTATAAGGGGTCTCGGGTTGACTGTCTCTGGTGGGCGGTCTCCTCTTCTGTGGGGGTGGGGAGATTTTTTTTTTCTTCTTACCAAAGTTCCTTCAATCCTAGTCAGGTGACATCGTAACAAGCTATACTTTCTCTTACCACAATAATCTAATAATATGAAGTTATGTCTGAATGTGTGATTAAACACCGCCCTTCTGAATTTTGCTGCTTTGCAGACAAACAAGAGCAAAAGCTGCAGATCAGATTTGATGTGTGAGTTTATATTTCTCGTGTTTTGATGCAGAATAATGTAATTAATGTTTCATCGTTTTATTCTTTTTTATCACATTATATCACATTGAGGTGTACAGCTCGTTTTTAAGCATTGCTTGTGTCCTTAGGTATGCGTATTTTATAATAATAATAATATTAATAATAAGCATATTCATAATAATAATAATAATAATAATAATGAAGGTCAATATTACTCATATCAAAGGCCTTTATACTATGATCAAACAGGCCCACAGCCAACATGCCTATCTGGGCATCAGTGCTTCACATTAAGATTACTACTTGTTGATAACTGATATTTTTTCCACCAACTGCAGATAAAAGTGTAAATCTTTTGATGAGAGTTAGCTTTTGGAATATATCCGAGACCAGACAATAATAGCATTCATAGTAGTCCGCAGCCGCACTGCTAATATTAGAACAGACAGTTGTTTGGGTTTCTCTCCTGGGTCAAGCTTTTAAATATAATCAAACCTGTTTCCGAAGAGGCTTCAGACAGAGGAGCGGGGTGTTGCATTTCATTGAATGAAACACACACACGCGCGCGCGCACACACACGCGCACGCACACACACACACACGCACACACTGACGTACAGGCTGATCTCCGTCTGAAGTCCTTGCGCGACCTCTTCAGCGGAACTCTGGTTACAGCTCTCAGCAGAGAGCAAAGTGTCTGCTGTGTGAATCAGACACCAGGGAGTTCATTATCTGTTGGCCAGATAAAGGACACTGCAATCCCTTTCTTTTTCATTAAAACGAATACTATTCAATCTTCAAAATATCAAAACTTTACAATAACCAAATCAATCCAGAACTTTAAGTGTTGCTACTGAAACGTGATAAGATCAACACATATTATAGTTGTTTAAAGTTTGTGTTGTATTCATCTGAATATTCACATTATTGTCAGTGGAATGTCATTACAGGCAGCACTGGGCTACATTTAGTGTTATTATTGAATATATTACACACTTTTATTAACACAAACAGAGGATTAGAAGCTGTAACAGACACAGGAAACAATGTGTTTTGTAACAACAAAACTCGTATTTCTACAGAACAACAGAGAAACATAGAGTCTAATACATGTTGCAATCTTTTTCCCCAGTTACACATTTTTTATTAAGACCAACAAACTTCTCTCAACAGAAAGAGAGGTTGTTTGATTGGTAGTGAAGGATTAATTCTCTGTTCTTGCAGTTTTATTTAGTTTTATTGCCACACATACATATGCTGTGCTAAAAAAATAAAACAAAAGAGAAGATGTTTTAATCTTCAGTTTAAGGGACGTCAACATAACCTGCTTTAAATCATAATCAGAAACAGCAGTCTGTCTCAAGACTCAAAAACAAGGATGCAATCATTAAAAAAGAAAAAAAAGGTCGCACATTATACATGTTCTTTCCAGTTCTTTTGTGTGAATATGTGATAACATGCAGTCACAATAAGCTATTTTCAAAGTATCTGGAGTTATGTGATCTCTCTACTTCAGAACATTCTAATCAATATTATGTGTAGCTTTTGATGATTATTATATGAGTGAATAAGACATCACGACATTTCAGAAATTCATACATTTCAGAATGATTCACTTAATGTCACATTCAATGAGGTCTATTTTTAAGCTATTTTACCTTATCAACTAGAATAAGCCATGTTTAATGGAAATAAATGTGACTAGTGTCTTTCAAATCAATGGACCATTAATGAGGTAGTAGTTGTCATGCTACTTGTTATTTAGAATTTGTGAAAATATCAAAATTGATGCAAAAGCCAGAAGTCAGTATCTGTGACAATTGCTTCCTTTAACAAGTATGAAAATGTTTACTAGATGTTGAGTTATGTGTGCACATCACTCAGCGTCTGGTGTGTGTGATTCTCCAGATCATAGCCTTTGAAGAGTGGAAGCTTCCAAAACACTTCCTGACATGCGAGTACATTTCTGCACTGCTGTATCAACTTTAAAGTGCTGGCTGTCCTCCTGAAGCCATTAATGGCATCAGCAGAGGGACACAGTGCTCCCTGTCCCAGGCTCTCAGCTAAGTTTGGCTCAAACAGACCAAGGCAGCAAACTGTTAGTGCTGATTGAAACTAAAATCAGGACAGCAGAATATCTACAAGCCATGGGGATTTACTTTGATGTTGTACTCTAACCCATCATTTAAAAATAAAGTCTAAGTTCAGGCTGTAATACTGTTAGCTACTCCAATATCTTTCGGACAGGCTTGACAAAATCTTTCAAGTTTTAGGTATCGAATGAAATAGATGAAAAAATCTCTCAGAAAATGCAAAAATAAGCCAAGGGGTATTCAATAATTTGCTTTGACATTACTTTAGGTTTACAATATTGCAGTCACTTGTGAGCAATCGTCCCATTGTGCATGGCATTGCTCAGATGTTTGGCTGCAACTGTCAATCAACTTGTAGGAAACCCTCAGGAGATGTACAAAGTATTGTTTCCACATAGCTCTACTCATGGACTCCCAATGCTATTGCTCAACCCCGTAGTGCAAGAGTAATTGTGAAACAGAGTAATTCAATCATCTGAATTCTATGTATCCCCTCCAACAAGGGAAGCTCAAGTCCAGTCTTCATAAAAAATATGCTAGTTATTAGAGACAAATAGCATATTCCACCTCGCCAGAAGAAATGCTTAAGACTCTGCTGGGTGCCGGAGCTGGCTCTCTCAAAGGGAAAACATTCAGAAACACATTCCTACACAGTCAAGGGACAGAAACCTGACTGTGGGAACACACGACAGTCAAAACTCTGAGAGGAAACTAATTGGAATTGAGCGAAAAACTTAAAGGGAAGTGGTCCAAGTAAGGTCATTTCAGGGCCAAGTCCTCTAAAGGTGGTCCAGTGAGAGGGGAGAGGAGAAGAGATGCAAGAAAAGAGACAATACAACAACACAATACCAAATAGGTAATAAATGTGTATTAATTGAATTGTGTTCATCAACAGAACAGAGAGAAAATACTGAACAGTGCCAACACGTCATCTATATCATGCTGCCATCTAGTGGCAACATTGTGCTAATACAGCTTTAACTAAGCCTAAACAATCCCCCCACTGCAAGTGAGAAACCAAGGTCAAGTGCAGACCTAACACAGAATATATTTGATAGTACCATTCAACATCTCAGAGTCATGAACTATTTCTCGGTAGTGAACAGTATTTGAGCGAGAAACAAAGTGTGTTTAATTGATTTATGGCATTGTGGGTTTTTTTACGCTCTAGAGTTAACAATCTGTTGGTTAACAGAAAACACGTACTTGCATCAATTTTGATAATGGATTTAATGGTTTAACAAACATATTTGCTGGTCATACTCCATTAACCATTAAATAATCAATAAACATTTAACAGATTACAATAACACAATATTCTATTAAAAAAAAGACCTGACAAGAAGTGCAACAAATGGTAAAATACAACAAAATATCATCAATATTACAAATATCATCAATAAAGATAAAAACAACACAAGTAAAAACTTTGCATTTACAAAACCCAATATGAAAGATCATAATTCTATCTTACAGTATATACAGTGACATACACACAGAGTAATAGCTTTTACTCTGTCCAGGAAAGGTATAATTTCTTGTTTACATAGAAAATACTAATGTCAATAAATGCAATAAAAGCCCTGAGTGGCTGAGGTGACGCTGGATTGCAAAGCAGTATAAGCTACAGACCACATGTGTAATAAAAAGATTAATGCAAATGAGCATAATTAAAAATAAGGTTTTTCTAATTGAGAATGCAATATTTCTATCATGTTACCATGTTGTTATAAAAATGCAATGCGTATCTTAAATGCCTTAACAGTGTTAAACATTTAATCCATAATGTCATCTAAAGAAGAAAAAGTATTGCATCCTGTCATATTGGGGGAAAAAGACAGTTTTTACATTGAATTCAAGTCAGTGAATGACAGCAACTGATCAATGTATAGCCCACAAAGCTCAACAAAATAAAGACAAAAAAAAGATCCTCTGTAAAATGGTCCAAATCCCATTTATCCACCAACTTGTATCGACTTAATTAAAATGTCCAATTTCCAGTGATTGCTCTTCAGTCCATTAGCACTTTATGAGCACCAGTGACGAGAACCAGTATGCACACTGGGAACAATGCTCCAGTGAGCAGAGAGACACTGCAGGTCTCGTCTTACGTTACAGCACTTCATCCACATGTGCGCGGCTCTGCGTGTCGTCATCCTCCATCTGAAGCTGCTTGTACTTTCTTTTGAAAAACCCAAACTGGAAAGTAAACAGATTCAGTTCAGGCACAGTTTATTTTATACGAAAAAGATAACGGACTCAATAAAAAAGAGATTCTAGCATATGTTTTTGGTGAGAATATATCCAGTTATATTGAAATCTGTTGCAGGAGACGAGTGATGAACACATGCTTTATTTTCAAACTTTAAATAAAGCTGCTCATTCGCATGAAACACAGATCAGGTAGATTCTTCTTGGTAAAATGCTCATGTATACAGATCATCATCAAGCTACAATATTCTACTGATGTTGCTCCCTATATTGTAATTGTTTTTTTTCAAATGGTAGACACTAGACAGACACTTACTTTCCACAGGAGTCCGACGGCCAGAGCCAACAGCAGCAGTCCACCAATGATGCTTCCTGCTATCACTCCCACTGGAACATCCCCTTTCTCTCCAGGTTTACTGACCGTCAGCACCACCTGCAGCAGGAGAGGAGAGCTCATCATCTGTCTCACTCAGATATGGCATTATTAACAAACAACAGCAAGCACAACACGACAGACCATGCCAAATGAAGAAACAAAACAGTATATATATATTTTCCTTTTTCTTATTTCTTTTTATGAGGCAGACAATCAAAATCTTACTGGTAGCTGTTTGAGGCCGATGATGAGCAGGTCAGGGTTGGAGGTCTCCACATCAAAGTTGGAGGTCAACTCAATCATCTGATAGGTGGCCTTTCAGGACAAATGTATACAAATAAGAGCACTGAAAATGTATTAATTTAATAATAACACAAGAGAATTCATGGTAAAAAAAAAAGAAGGAAAAACCAACGGTAGTATGAAATTAATTTTTGAACATATTTACCGAAATAAATGTGCCACTCCAGATCCTTGTTTTAACTTTCACAAAGTAGTCTGTATTTATTTCGGTGTCCTTGAGGATGCACTTGATATACTCGCATTTTGCAGTCTTGCAGTCCTTTTGATTAAAAGAAACAATGTCAACAAATATAAATCAGTACACAACACTAAATTGTGGTGCAACCACAACGTTTCAAATTACTTAAAGTTTCTTCTGCATCTAGGATTTTTGTGAAACAAATAGAAACCATGCATTCAATAACAACTAAACAAGAATAGGATAAAATCAGTTCACATACATGTACAAACTATTGTATCATGAAACATTTTCACATAAGGTACTTCTCATGCTCAGTGTTCCTAATTAAATTTAAGAATCACTATTTTCCCCTATGATAGAAATGAAAACACTGCAGTAGAGGATGTCTCCCGTGTCTCTCTAAGAAAGATGAAACATACATAAAGATACAAATGCTCAAAGAAATAAGAGACTGACCAGTTTCTCCATGCCTCTGAAGTTCTCTTCCGAGAAAGACACTTTGTGGTTCTTCAGTCCGATCTTCAGAGGATCGACCAGGCCGCTGGAGTCGCAGTTGATGGCCCCCCCCTGCAGGAGGACAGGCCTTAGGTCATTTATTCTCCCAAAGCATGACACAGTCCAAATCATACAGTACAATTCAAGAACATTTACATAAAGTTTACAAGTCACGTTTTAATTTAAAGGTCCCCTATTATGCAGCTTTTCATCAATATGTTATAGGTCTCAGATATATACAAACATGTCTCTGAAGTGTTTGGCTTGAAATACCAAACAGATGCATGGTAGCATCACATAATCCCCTCTGTTTCAGCCCTGTTTCAAAAGTGCTTATTCTCTGTCTGTTACTTTAGATGAAAATAAGGAGCCACTCCCCACGCCCCTCTGAGAGATATTTGGTTAAAAAGAACACAATGGTGCTCTAGGAGGAGATTCAGGTGATAAGGTGGAGGGGGGGTTACCTTGGTTGGTGATTGGTTAATGGTTACACAACCCAAAAAATCGTTATGACATCACAAAGTGGCCAAAATCTGATCAGCTCATTTTCAGACAGGTTTTTATATAAATGTGTCAGGACAAAAAGAGAGCGACTATTTTTTCTGAAACTTTCAGAATCTNAATATGTGCAAGAATGAACCCCCTGTTTCAACCTCAACCTGCCTTCTCTCCTGCCATCCAGAGTAAGATCTGTATATTTTTTAAATATGATGGCAGATATGTTGAGCTACTGTATGTATTGTATCTTTGAGTTAGCTCACAAACAGCAACATGTTTAACAAAAGACATGGCCTGTTTCAAATTATTGTTTTTTTTTTACAAACCTTCAAAACAGATTTTTTGCTTGCAGCTGTTAAACCATATAATAATGTAATTTGAACAAATGTAGAAAAAAGGCAACTAACAGGTAGCTACGATATTATGCATGAAATGTAAACATACAGTGATCAGCAGTAAAGTGAAGGGCATGAACTGACAATTATTGACTTCTGCCTAAATGTATCATCATATTTCTCCTTGCACATTACTAGCATGTGGAGGGCCTATGGACATTGTGATTGTGTTGGATGGTTCCAACAGTATTTATCCTTGGGCTCCAATGACCGCGTTCCTCCAGAAATTAATACCTGCCCTCGACATCGGGCCAAAGAAAACACAGGTAACGTCATGTTTTACTAGTCACAAGAGGAAATCTATGCAGAGATTAAGGCAGGGGTTCATGCTGTACATTATCACACTATTGTTTCATTATGCCAGGTCAGTGTCATTCAGTATGCTGTCGATCCGAAGTTTGAACTCACACTGAACCAGTATAAAACCAAAGATGAGGTGCTAGCTGCAACGTCCACAATCACACAAATGTACGGCTCTTCCACCAACACCTTTCATGCGATCCAATATGCCAGGTTAGTGTTGCAGTGGAACCACCTTTTATGCATTTCTGTTTTTTTTATTTACTTAATTGATATGGTTGGTATATTTGCTTCAGTTTTTCTTATGATTTGTCTGTTGTTCTTTTTGTCTTGTCTGTTTATTCGTTGTATTATAACCTGATTAGGAACTAATGATTACTGAAAAGTGTCCACTCTATCTGCTCTCTTCAGTCAGTGGGGTTTCCATAGTAAAAACGGAGGGCGACCAGGCGCTGCCAAGGTTATGGTAGTGGTCACTGACGGGGAGTCTCACGACTCGACCTTCAGTGATACAGTCATCTCCGGCTGTGAGGCACAAGGTATCACCCGCTTCGGTATCGCTGTAAGTGATGATCTGCAATTTAATACCAATGACATCCAACTACCTCCAATTCTATAGTTTATATTTTAGTTTAAAATCTATATTATTGTAAATGTGAACAATGCCTGCTGACTGCACATCATTGGATGACTTTGCAAAACATATTATGCCTTTTATCTGCATACATGTCTGATTAATTAGTAGTTATGATGTGCCAGTGTTAGTACCTGAATTTGTGGTGTTCCATTTTTTTCCATAGGTCCTGGGTTATTACATCCGAAACGACATCAACACAGACAACCTTATAAAAGAAATCAAATCCATTGCCAGTGTACCCACAGAGAAGTACTTCTTCAATGTGTCTGAAGAGGCGGCCCTCTCCACCATCGCTGGAGCATTGGGGAGCCGCATCTTCAACATAGAAGGTGCATACAGTAATATACATTATCTATGGTTGTTGTTTCACAGGCTGTATGTGTACTTGACAAATCATGCATCATGCAGGCATGTCACAACATACCTGTCACAGCTGAAGATCAAAAGTGAGATCAAAGGAAATGTATTTATTTTGCCTTTTTCCCCCATTTTGTATATGCATCTCGGTTTTAATTGTGTTGTTTGTCCATACTTCTCATTCTGTCATTTTTCTGTCATTGTCATTTCTGTTTAATTTGTCACTATAATTCACTTTAGAGGATGACCTAAGTAGAATTTGGTGGTCGTAAAGTAATAAAACGTTTTTGGCCATAATCTTACGCCCTATTAGGACCATTTTGCACACACTTCTAAAAGGATAAAAAATGAGGCTATGACATTTTGGAAATACATGGGTTTTAAACTGCAATTTCACTTTAGCTGAGGCAGTAACTGTGAGGCGGTAATAGTTGTCAATGCTGGTGTTTAAACAATGCTCTGTTCCAACAAGGCACTGGAAAAGGGGGCGACAACTTTAAGATGGAAATGTCCCAGGTCGGATTCAGCGCTCACTATTCAAGTCGACAGGTAAAGAACACTGTATTGTACACCTCTAAACCTTTCTAATCAATTGTGACATGGCAAGTTCACACATCCACCACTATGTTGACAAATGTCATGGTTTTGTGGTTGTGGCAGTGTAAAACATGTTAAAGGAAGTCTAGTTTTAAAGTCAATAGGATGAACAGGTGTTTGTACTCCTTTGAGAACATTTAAAATGTTAAATTAGCACAGCAGTAATTATCATCAGCAATAAAGTCTCAAAGCTTGCAATACAAAGGATCAAATAAGCACTTCTCCCACAAGGCACATGCTACATGGTAGTACCTGCTACGTACAATCACAGGTTTTTGGCGAAAGCAGTGTATTGATGGACACAAAGATAAATAAAACACATACGTTGTTTCCAGACTATGCTTTATTTTTTGTGTCTTGCCCTATAATTTGTCACACATCACATGCAGTGAGGCTGACACTACAGGGTAGACAACGGAAAAAACTGAAGCATTGAAAGAATATTTTTAGGTGTGGGTGACAGACACAACAGACCACAGCTTTCCGCTGTCAAAGCAATGAAAATATGTGACAATTACTAAATACAATAAAGTAAACCCTTTGTGTAACACCTATCAAAATAACATTGATAATGTCACCATGATTTGAAGTGACAATACAACTGGTCACAGAATCTGGCTGACCACAAAATACATTGTGAAAACACATCGCTTTGCTTCACAGCAGCCCTCCTGCAGTACTGCGGGTTTCTCGCTAAAAGGAATGAGGAAGCTGCTTTTTTTCTCTTCAGCATTCTGTCAAGAATAATCACATATTATAAGATGTCCTGACCTCACACTGTTCTGAATGCTATTGGTGGTTTTCACCGGGGTAACTCAGTAGAGTAACTCCCTTTTGATATTGTTTAAAAGCTTTGATACTGATATATATATATAAATGCTTTGAACTCTAGTAGTATTTGTTTGGTAGCTGCTGACTGATCTTTGACCCGTGCTGTTTCAGGATGTGATGATGCTGGGAGCAGTGGGAGCCTACGCTTGGAGCGGCACTGTTGTCCATCAAAAAGGGTCAAAAGCTGACATTCTCCCTTTCTCAGCCTTTGAGGGAATACTTCAAGACAGAAACCACAGCTCACTACTGGGTAGGCATTAACCTTTTCCTCTGCAATCATCATATTTGATACTGTAACTTAAACCATTTGCATTAAGCAACACAGAAACCAGACTGGAGGATGGCTGTTTTCAAATGTGTGTGTTACATTACAGCACGGTGTAAAGCAAAAAGATTTCTCAAGCTCAAAATGCCAGCTAGTAAAACGTGCTTTTTTGGGTTCCCAGGCTATTCTGTGACCACACTCAGCGATGTGTCCACAGAATACTTTGTGGCTGGTGCACCTCGCTCCAACCACTCTGGACAAGTTATTGTCTATACCGTCAATGCCCAGAAACAATCTGCTATAATAGATTCTGAAAGAGGGAAACAGGTACTGACATTTGAGGATGTGGTATTCACAATTTCCCCTAATACAAACATTTATACTTGTAGGAAGTATTTATAATCAGTAAACTGCTTGAACTCCTCTCCTAGATTGGGTCATACTTTGGGAGTGTCCTGTGCCCCCTGGACGTGGACAGAGACGGGGTGACGGACCTCCTGCTGGTCGGAGCACCCATGTTCATGAGCGATCTGAAGAGAGAGGAAGGCAAGGTCTACATCTTCCAGGTCACCAAGGTACAAATACTCCACATGTCACTCAGTGGGTGTAAAAAGTCAAGAAGACATCTTCAAAGCTTGACTTCAACGATAGAATTGAAAAGACCTGCACCAAGAGGTCTCGCTCCACAGGCCTCATAGTTCCTGTGTTTTTGTTCTGAAGGGTATACTGAACGAGCAGGGATTCCTCAGTGGTCCCCCCCCAACAGAGAACGCTCGTTTTGGGATGGCCATCTCTGCCGTTCCTGATCTGGACCTCGACGGATACAATGATATTGTAGTCGGAGCCCCACTGGAAGACAAAGGAAAAGGTGTCATCTACATCTACAACGGGGAGAAGAACACATTAAACAAACAGTACTCACAGGTACGGAGGACAATTGATATCTGAAAGACAGAGAGACTTGTTTTGGAAGATTTTTGTTTTAATTGGGGCTAAAAAGAAAGGTCTCCTATGATTAATGACAGTTAATTTATTAAACTTTGAAATAATTAGCAGGTATTGTTGATAATGTGTTTCAGAGAATCTTTGGCTCAAAACTGGATCCTCAGCTGCAGTATTTCGGACGGTCCCTCGATAGCTACACAGATCTGAATGATGACACAATCCCTGACATTTCCATTGGAGCATATGGCAAAGTGGTGCAGCTCTGGTATGTCTGGCAACCTGTAATAACATCTGTCTGTATGAAATAATTTACCACATTGTATTACAATCATCAAAGTCAGTAAATGAGTCCATTGTTTATAAAAATTGCTAATTTAAATGTACTTTTGGTTTTCAGGTCCAGAGGTGTGGCATCTGTCACGGCGGGAGCTTCTTTCAAACCCGATAAAATCAACATTTTCAACAAACCCTGTAACATTAATGGACGCAAGCTTACATGTTTCAACACCAACCTCTGTTTCAGTGCTGCATTCAGGCCTAAGAAACCTGTTGGACCCATTGGTAAATCTGATTACCTCTTGTCCTGCTCGGGAATAAGTAGATTCCTGTAATTTAAAGTAATACTTTTGGAGAATACACTTTGCTTTGTTTGCTTTCTTACCAAGAGTTGATGAGAAGATCACCACACTCATGTCTGTGTTGTAAATAGGAAGCTACAGCTACAAGCCACTTAGCTTAGCTTAACTTAACTTAACTTAACAAAAAGACTAAAAACAGGTAAATCAAACATTCTGGGCCGTTGAAGGTAACAACATCCACAAGCAGAGATGTGGGACGGTATTGATTTTCTCATTGAACTCAAGGCAAGAAAGCAAAAAAACATTTTTGCCAAAATAACGCGATTTCCTGAAAGATTTTCAAATAATTAGGTTTGAGAATAAACACCTTCTACTCTTCTTTTTACAGATATATCCTACACTTTGACTCTGGACGCTGACTTGCAGGCTTCACGGGTGACGTCAAGAGGACTGTTCAGTAAAAACAATGAACGCTACCTCACAGAGAAGGCAAAAATATCATCTGTGCCCCTGTGTCTGAATTACCAGGTCTATGTTCAGGTAATGCCAAAATCAATTGGTTTTGCAGTCATCAAATAGCATCAAGGAATGTGAGCACAGGAATGTGAGCACATGTAGAGATATGACTTCATATCTCCTGACCTGTCCACATGTTGTTTCTCTAACAGGAGGCACCAGACTTTGTCAATTCCCTCAGTCTGAAAGTAGAAATCGAGCAGCAGAATGCAGATGTGAACCCTGTCCTCGATAGGTTTTCTTCAAGTGCATGGGAGTTCTTTGTAAGTGATACAGTGCATGAAATGTCTGAATGTGTGTTCATTTGTTTGCCTTTGGTCTTAAGGGGTTAACAGGAGACAATCAGGTGACAAGGACTTTAAATAGAGTGTTATTTTGTACAGTCATTTAAAATGACATGGTGTGAAATTATTACATACTTTTCAAATGTAAGTCATTCACTAAGTCACGCAAGCTCTAAGATTTACACAACTGGTGTTTTCCCAAACAAAAGGTTAAAGTTCATTCAATGCAGTACAAATATAATAGAGTTTCATTCGTTTTAAAGATGCCTTAAGAGAAGCATCCTGGACTGAATTTGCCGCTCTGTTATTGTTTCAGATCCCCTTCACAAAAGACTGCGGCTCTGATGACGTGTGTGTCAGCGATCTGGTGCTCAGTGTGAAAACAGACACAAAGGCGTCCAGGTAAGAATCATCAATGTTTGTGTGAAGATGTAACATGTCTAACTTGCTCAATGTGGGATTGTATCTTCAGGTTAAATAATTCGTTTTTAATTTAAGGGTTTTTAGAGTTGTAATAATGATGTGTGTAACAGAACAAGCTCAGGCACGGAGATGTCTTTCTTCACTATGAGTCATTTGTAAAATAAGGGTAAGCACTAAGCGATCACCTCAAGGCTCTTAAGAATAATTATTTCTACCAGCTTCTTACTTTAATGCGACGGCCATCTCAGTAAATAATGACAACTTTAATATTTTCGTTGAAGTTTCGATTTTTGTTTTAGTTAAAGTCGGTGATTATAATAATAGATTCTTAGGGTTTACATTTGTAAACAGCAGCCCTCTCATGCTGTACTGAAATGACCATCTGTTATTGTACCAACCCTAGAGCCCTGTTTTTTTAATTTATCTGCTAGTATACACATTTATGTAACAAAGAAGAAAGACTTGCGTGTCTAAATCTATATTTAATGTTATGCCTTGGTAACGTCTAACAAACATTACACAATTTTCTATTACTCTCTTTTATAAGTCTGTCTTATTTTTAAATAGCTGCGTTGAGCTGAGTTTTCCAGTTTACAGAGCACCTGCATAGCCCATTAAATAACTGGGTCAGACTTGTGAGTTTGGAAAAACAACTTTTTAGTGATATGTGCTGAGTAATATGCAAGATAACTAAAGTAAAACATTAAACCTATTCACAAACATTTGATTTGTGATTTTCAACCTGTCATTTATTTCCATCTTTGTAAACTTGTGCTGTCTCCACTGTAATTATAGATGTTAATGAAAAAAGAAGAGAAAGACCAACACTCTTAGACACAAAATAAATAAATCACCCTAGGCTCACATATTTACACAACTCCCGTCTTTTAATCAAGTAAAGACAGTTTAACTATCCCTACTTAGTACTATTCCTATGGTCAAATACAATGTTCATTCTGTGAGTATGTTCCTTGTATCATGTAAATGCAGAGTACAGAAATCTGAGCACTTGTCTTGCAGCTCAGCTCCCGTTATGGTCAGCGCTAATAACCGAGAACTGTCATTTGAAGTGGTTGTGAAGAACAAAAAGGAGAACGCGTATAACACTCAGGTCTTGCTCACTTTCTCTGGGAACCTCTACTACTCCTCTGTCTTCCCTCCTGTGAGTAAAAGATGTCTTATTCACATGCTTGAATAGACTTTTCTGGCAGATTAAGATAAAATGTGTATGAATTGTTTCTCTACTTTTCTGTATGTGCTGGTGAAGTTTTTGGAATAAAGTTAAGAGATTTTGAGTTGTGTATTGTAAGTTAAACAAAGCCTATGTGCAATTCTGAACTGCACATTTACAGACGGATGGAGTCAAATGCGCTTCAACTCAAACCCAAACTGTCACCTGCCAAGTGGGATACCCAGCATTAAAAAAAGGCGAAGAAGTAAGTTACTAGCAAAAAGACTTATGAAATATCTTCATCTGTTTTGACTATATACAAATGTATTTCTTTGGCTAATTATGGTAAATAATGCAAAACATCTCAATATTTCATTACAGATGAAATTTCAGATGAATTTTGAATACAATCTTGACATGTTGCAAAACCAAGCCGAGGTGAAATTTGAGGCCAAGAGGTACACTTAATTAATTAGCAATCTAATGAAGAACTCTGACTCGTTACCTGATTTAAAGGTAATAATATTCTATACCTATTTTTCCTTTACAGTGATGGTAAAGAGGAAAGACCAGCAGACAACAAGGTGGACATTTCACTTCCTGTTCGATATGATGCAGGGATTGGTTTATCAAGGTGATTTTAATTAAAATGGCAATTATTAACATATATTAACAGTTGATGATGGCAGATCTTTAAAGTGAATGTTTATATGTTGTCACAGGCAGTCAAATATCAATTTCTACGTGGCAGACACTGCAGTTCCCGTGGTAACAACGGTGACAAGTCTTGATGATATCGGCCCAGTGTTTAACTTCACAGTAAAGGTGCAATAAACTAATATGCCTCTTGATATATCTTTATCTCATTTTCTCATTTTATATTTTTCAACTATATTAATTAAAACAAATTATATTTAAAGGTTTCAACAAGTAGCTTCCCTGTCAGCCTCATGTATGTGACCATCGCTCTGCCAGTGTCCACTAAAGGTGGAAACCAGCTGCTCTACGTTACCAGCGTGGACACACAAACAGTGAGTACTCATACACCAAATACCAGCAACTTCCTAAATAGTTTGTAAAAAAATGTTTAGCTTAAAGGTCACCTATTATGCAAAATACACTTTTTCATATATTTTATACATAAACATGTGTCCCCTCTGTGTAAAGAGATTCTGAAAGTTTCAGAAAAAATAGTCGCTCTCTTTTTGTCCTGNTNCACATAGTATTGATACATTTAAAACAATAATTTGAAACAGGCCATGTCATGTATTGTATCTTTGAGTTAGCTCACAAACAGCAACATGTTTAACAAAAGACATGGCCTGTTTCAAATTATTGTTTTAAATGTATCAATACTATGTGNAACGACAACATGAGCCTGGGTTTGACTCTTACCCGGATGCCTTCTTCTGATGATTTGATGGTGTGTGTGTGTGTGTGTGTGTGTGTGTGTGCGTGTGTGACACACACGCACACACACACACACACACACACACACACACCATCAAATCATCAGAAGAAGGCATCCGGGTAAGAGTCAAACCCAGGCTCATGTTGTCGTTGACGCTTGTAACATCTGGAATACTAACAGAATCTGTGGACAGAGAGGCAAAGGCAAATAATCAGTAAATAAAATATTATGTTTATAAAACTTGAATTCTTACAATTTTCCTTAGCTCAAAGTATTAAATGGAATACTTGCTTTGCTGTAAACTGCTATTATTCTTATATTTTTTATAAATTTTCAGAACATCAGAAGCCTAATGTCTGGAGATATTTGGGATATATGTATCACAGCACATTTCTTCAGTTCTGTTTCGGCATTTGAAGTACATGGACAATGTTTGGTGTAGAAGTCAGAGGTTAAACAATAAAACACCAAACCTTACCTTGAAGATTGAGCTTGTCACAGCTGTTTCTGGACCCTGAGACTGGACACTTGTAAACATCCCCCTTCCTGTTAGTCAAACCACTCCATGGGGCACCAACCAGCAGCCTGCATAAAACAACAATATCCATCTCTTCCTAACCCATAAACATGAAATTACAGTAAAAAAAAAATTGTGTACAATGCATGACCTGCTGCACATACAGGAGCTGAATAGGACTCCAAATGATTTAATTCTGTAAAATGGTTACAGAATTTCAATCTTTAAGCTTAAAGTTAAATTGTTGTGGCAAAAAAAAAGTGATTTGATTTCATTAGTTACAAATCAAACAGGGGTCAGACCCTCAGCAGGCCAATTTAAAAAACAATACAAAACATCCAAAAACAGTCGTACACTAAGAGAGTAACTTTGTGTGTTTGTACTTTGGGAAAGTGCCAACAAGTCAGTGATGTGGATCTTCTAACGTTTGAAGAAACAGCAAACAAGATTCTACAAGACTACAAAAATGTTACCCCCACATCACAACATCCAGATTCTGATACAAGAAGCTAAGATATAAAAATAAGAGATTTCTCAAAATCCAGAACCACTCATTTTAGAAATATGTAAGTCCCAATACTGCTATTAGGCTGACCCTTAATTTATAACCAACTTCAAGTAAACTCTCCAAAGCGTCAAACAAGGCACAGGAAGATGGACAAATCATCCTAATGTGTTGGTAAGAGCACAGCACACAGGATGTGACACTATTGCCTTTAATGGTTCTTTATGTTAGGGAGCAGAGACCAGAATCAGATACTGGACACTCCCTGATTATGCAACCAGGACACTCCTCCAGACATGGAGTGACTCTGGCTGTGAACAACTTCCAGACATCACTGAGGAGCTCAGTTATTGTTTAACCACATTTTACAATTTGAGTGGCGCAACATGTAAGAAGCTTTAGACATGGCAGGATTCTTTGTGTGACACATGCACATACACATGCACCTCGTAGCAGCTCAGACAAAATGTAGTACCATATTATTATTTAAGATTACAGTTTCTACAATTTTGCAGTGATATGCCCAGGGTAGTGTTAGGAGATTCAACATGTATGTATATGTTTCTTATCGGTAGAGCTTTTTTTTTATTAAATCAAATATATGGAAATTTCCCCCCCAAAATATATTGTTGTTTATGCTATGCTTATCAAATGCTATTAGTACAAAAGAATGTGTTCAAGAACATCACTAAGAGTCTGCCGCCATGCTAGCGCCACTGTGAGGCTGTAGTCTGGCACATTGGTGCTTTTGGTACAGTAAACGCTGATATTGCGCTGGAACCCTGTCTCCTCCTCTTTCCCACGCATCTAAACTGCATTTTCAACTTTGTTGTAACTACGTTTTAAGGGAAATATATCGCCTCCAGGATTTAAACACGTTTTTAACTTTTTTAATTGAAACTCAACAAAAACCCAACATAACTACTTGGTTAAGGGTTAAGGATTGCCTTAAAATGCGTATGTTTCTTACATTATTGAAGTTAAAAACATCAAAGACGACTTTTGGTTTCACACGAGACATTAGCACTAGGCAGGTGATTGTTACACCCATTCACCTAGGAATACACAACTGTACAATTGCTATCCATCGAGTAGCTGCTTCAGTCTGGACAAGAGCAGCCAACCAACAGAAGTAATTTCCTCTAGCATGTCTAAAAACCGATTATGATTATCAGGGTTAAGCAGAAGAGCTGCAAAAAACACAACCTCTAAAGTCTTGCAGAGAATTTGCCATGCAGTTACCATTCCCTTCATTTGAAAACAAAATGATGCAGTTGAGCAGACAACTAATCAACTGAGATTTCATTTGAATCATAGTGTCTGCTCTAACAAACCAATGATTAGGTAACAGTATGTATACAAAATTAATGAATGTAGAGGTGGACAGTTGTGTACATGCAGATCACCAAGACAGCTGATAATCAGATGCAACACTTTACAGCAACAGGCCTTCATCGCCAAATACTTCTCCTGAGAATCTTTGGAGCATGTTGAACCTGGGAATTCAGCCATTTTTGGTGTAAAGGCTTGTTCTGACAAGGTGTATCTCCAAAAGTGGCCCACTGAGTGAGTATCAGCACCTTGTTTGCTCTACAGTAAAACTCCTCTCTGCATTAAATCATTATCTTCCTTACCTTTATAGCGATTTCAAAGATTTTGCAAATATATAAATTAAATTGAATGATTAACCGGACACCAAAGCTACAGCACCTACTGTAGACAGGTCACAGTGTGTGATGTAAGCATGGACAAAAGCGATGCAGTGTGGGACCTCGAAGGTAAAACACAGATCCATACCATTTGCCTTCATAGTTTGTTGCTTGTTGAACCGTGTAGCCAAACTCCTCCTCCGCTGGCCCACTGAAAATCTTAGCACCTGCAGTGCCGACGTTGAAGGACTGTGAGCGCCATATTCTGTCAGCTGGAGGAGGAGAAAGATGCATGACAGGGATCAACATCAACATCATGCAAGGAGTCTTTACTGATAATAAGCACCTTGTCAAAGCAGTTGTTGATTGTATGTATAGCCTACCATCATTATTTTATTTTTGTATGCATGCATAACGTTTTAAAACAAAATTGTTATCAGGTTGTTTATGGGAGGGAGGGCATTCTGACTTCCTCCTTTGGGTGGCTTTTAGTTGAATCATGTATGTTTGAAAAAACACATCAGCTTGACTCGAAAAGTTTAAATATATGAAGGTCGTGTGGATAACTGCGTTGATGGATATTGCAAGTCCCGGAACACTGTGTTGCTTCATAGACACAATCCACCTTTAATCACAGCCCTCTAAACCCCCCAGGACATGGAATCTGTCTGTGTACGAGTGAGTCTTCCTGTAGAATCAGACCCACAAGCCCATACAGGCAGAGCTCAGCTATCTGCCTGCAGCCTAGTCCCTCTGCAGGCAGAGGAATGTGCATGGGCTCCGGACTCAAGAGACCTTCACGGCACAACCACGCCTGTTTACCTGCAAAACAAAGTGCCTCCTTTCGGCGTCCTGCAAACCCCAGAACATATCTACATTTCAATTCATTTAAGAAACAGGGGAAATGTGGATATAGGAGAGTAAAATAAAGTATGTGTGGCTGCTGTCTGAAAGGTTCGACAGACTACAGAGCAGATATAACAACACTGTGACCTATTTTCTACACAAAAAGCCACGTGATGCACAGTATAACCAGCAATCTGGTTGTATTTAATCCATGTGGGTTAACTGTGGATCGTGTAGTTTATTTGGTAGCAGGGGAAGAAACGCAGCAGGGTGGCGTGATTTCAAAACAAAAGCACTTACAGGCAGAATAATTCACTAAAATGGGCTGCACACTGAAACTACTCCCTGCTGCTCTTCAGATGTGTTTTATGAGAAGAAAAAAATAAATGAACAATCAAACTAAAAGTTATGACCAACGACTATCAAACATTGACGACATCAATTTATGAAAACGATTTGAAACGCTCGCTATTCGTGGAAAGAATTGTTGCTCATTTACTCTTTAGGTGAGAGAATAAAGCAAATAACACCACCAACGTCCAAAAAATATCAATACTTACTAATGACTACTAAAGTGAAGAAGAAATTCCCCCAGATTAACTCCATCGTCGACTTTATTCCATGTGTAAAATGAAGCCGCTGCATTTATCAGAGTTGTTGCTGGGCGGACCAGCCGTGACGCGCCGGACACGCTTCCTAAATAAGGACTGAGCTCTGCCTCTCACCTGTCGGATCAAACTTACTCCAAGTATTGTCAAAGGGTGTGAAGTGAACTCTGCAATACAGTCTGTCTGGGGAAAGGCACGTTGGTGACGTCCTGTGGCTAGAAATCCTGCTGTGTTCAGGAAGGAGACCGAATGAAAGTCCTTTAAAGTTAAGTCATTCACTGCTCAAGATTAACAGAACAAAAACAGTATTCAAAATAAGTCCACGCCCAATAGTTTTAATTTAAATCTCATTTAATCGTCAGTCCAAAGCCACATCTTGAGAGGACAAACAACATTTAAATTAACATGTCAAATGAAAAAAATAAACATCAATTTACAGTTCATCATTTGAGTCTCATCTCTGATCCTTCTATGAGTTCTGTATTTACAACCCAACATGGAGCAGAGTTATTGACCATTCAATGCTGAATAAGGAATTATATATATTTAGAATATGGATAAATTATATACCGACAATAAAAAGTATTTTACGAGCTGGAAGAATGACCAAAACCATGTTCCTCCACTGGAAAACAATGATGTACGACCTTTAATTGGAACTTATGTGTTGAAGCCTTTAAATGAAATGGGCCGGTTGGGGAAAGAGTTGAAAGATATTTAATTTTCAATGAGTGGTTGCATTCCAAAATGCAATTTTGGAAAGAATCTTAGCTGGTGGTTGTTTCTTAATACTCAGACAGAGTATGACACCCTCTTATGCTGATTTGTTTATTGAGTAAGTTACTCAAGATAGTGTAAAGGGAAACCCCACTGATTCCAATCAAGGTTGAGTATTCATTGAAGGTATGACTCAGCCGGTTGTGTGATGTCCACTGTGGCTCAAGAGGAAGTCTGAGAAAATGACCTCTGTGACATCATCTTGGCAACAGATTTAAAACAGAAAGCCTGCATTGTGAACAGGGTGATGGAATTTAAAGGATGTGGGCATTACACTGGATTTCGCTTGCATTATGAGAAATATAGGGTGCAGCATTTTGAGAGCCTGGAAAGGGAGTCAAAATCTGGATATTTGTGCCTCAGTTGCTACGATTTTGACCAATTCACTCATGCTGTATTTGGCAGGAATGCTATCACACTCACACAGCTCTACTGGAGCAGCTGGGACTAAGCCTCTTAAAGCACCTATTTAACCACTTTCACCATCATGCAATCATGTCACCAACAACACTGATGGGTATAATTAAGCCGTTAACTTATTGAACACAGTGGTATTGTGTTGAAAGCATGCTAACCCTAATAGGCTGTTATATTTGTTGGATTTTGTTTCATACTTTCTAGTACACCCAAACTTTATGTATGTTTTTTGGTCAGATTATACCATACAGTGTTGATCACACTTTACCCTCTCCCTTTCCTTTAGACAGTTACAGTGTAACACTGTCATGGTGTTTCAGTGTTGCTTTCCATGCTTTGCCCAATGTGACTTATAAAGATGAGTTGAACATCATAGCTACAGTATCTCCACTCTTTCAAATGCATCACGTCAAATCTTAAATCACACTAATGAACTAAGGCGTACCCCGTAAAATGTCAAACTTGAGGCTTTCATAACATCAACCACAAACACTTATTAAAGGCTCTCTACACTGTCTTCAAATTCAGTATGAACATTTTTCACACAAGCACAGCAAGGACTGATGAGGTCATTGTAATCAGTATCCCACTACAGTGTTCAGATACATTGTAGGCAGTTTGCCACAGACCCTCGGCTATGTGTTCAGTTAAGTTGATTCAATAGGTTTTGTTGTCCTGGATATCATCCGTATTCAGCAGCTGAATCATACGCCCTCTCCTCTGTTTGTGCAGCCATGATTCGTGTGCAAGTCATGGTAGGCCAGAGCACCTTTACAATTCCTAATGAGCCACTTCAAGCTCTGGTGACGCAGCGCGGTTCCTGGAAAAGGCTGAACTTATTTTGTTGTATTTTTGGTGACAAGAATTGCCTTGAGAAACTGAAAAGGGTAAAAACTTGTCTTTTAGACAAATCAAACTAAACTTGTTAAATCCCACTCAAGATAGTTTTAAGCAGCTCGTCCTGTTAAATCATGTTGAAAAATCGAAGGAAGTCTCTTGTCACAGCAAAGCTTGTGGTCTTTTTTTGCATCAGGCCCTGACATCTTGTAGAAGTGTGGGAAAGTCTTTAAGAATCCCCACTGAGGAGGAACATGAGTCATTTGAATTAGGACTGGGAGTTGAGAGACTATTTATAATCACAGGAAAAGCCTTTGTCCTTGTTTTACTGTACCACATTATAAAAAGGGGTTTCACACGTCACTTCGGTTCGCATCTTGCTTGGTTTGATTGTATTTCTCCAGGTTTTGACTTATTTGAAAAACCATAAAAACAGCACTTTTTATTTACAATCAGTCTGTTACCCTGGATGATCCAACAGTTTTCATTGGTACACATGACTAATGAATACTTCCTATGAAAACTGTTTGTAGCGAGGTCTTAAATACAGATATTTGTGGTTTTAAGTAAGATGTTTTTTGTGGGTTTTCTTGTAAACTTATTTTGCAATAATTGTAAGTTCATGCCCTTTACTTTACTGCAGATCACTGTATATTTACATTTCATGCATAATATCGCAGCTACCTGTTAGTTGCCTTTTTTCTACATTTCTTAAAATTACATTATTATGGGGTTTAACAGCTGCAAGCAAAAAAAGAGTTTTGAAGGTTTGTTCAAAAAATGTCCATTGAGGATTCGAGAAGCTGATAAAAGGCAGAGTATTGCCAAGCTATGTTGTAAAAAATGTGAACCTAGCAGATACATTTAAAACAATAATTTAAAACAGGCCATGTCTTTTGTTAAACAAGTTGCTGTTTGTGAGCCAACTCAAAGATACCAAGATACAATACATACATTAGCTCAACATATCTGCCATCATATTTAAAAAAAATACAGATCTTACTCTGGATGGCAGGAGAGAAGGCAGGATAAGGTTGAAACAGGGGGTTCATTCTTGCACATATTCCTGGGTAGAAGACCTGATTGCCACACTGCTGTCCCCAAAGAGGACCGCACATCTGCATCACATGAGGAGACGTAATGGAAAGTCAATCTTTTCCTTAGAAGCTCTTGAGTTGAGTTGAACATCCAATGATATGTTATATTATACGATGTCGGTGTTAAATAAAGAGACCTTTATGTGCAGTGTCTGTTGTCTTAAGTTAGTAAGACTACTTCCTGCTGCTATCAGCCACACACTTGCTTCCATCAAAAAAATATACTGTATCACTAAACACAAAGATAGAAAATAGATGCAGAAACGACCTGCCAATCTCTAAATAGCACAACTTCCTTTTTTATCCTTAGTATGAAAACACACACACACACACAGACACACACACACACACACACACACACACACACACACACACACACACACACACACACACACACACACACACACACACACACACACACACACACACACACACAC